TTTGTTATACTGTGCCAAGGATTTTGGAAAAGTATAATTCCCTTCCTGTGTAATCTACTGGCTTTGTGAGGGACTTCTTAAAGCCTTTTTCTTGGTGTATAGTATGAATATTTTTATTAGTAAAACAGATTAAACAGCCCACATCTGGAGGGTAAACAGGAAGCATATTTTTATTTGAACAGCCTTCTGCTTTGTAAAATCAAGGCCACTTAAAACATCAGACATGTGCCTAAGGAAAGCTTAAAGCACGTTTCTGTGTAGTGTGTTCAGACACTGGTTTTGTCCACATTTGAGGAGAATTTGAAGTTTTATTCTGAGCAGCAGTGCAGTCTGGGAGGCAGCCAGTCCTTCCTGGAGTAGGCACTATTTTCCCTTCTGCACGCAGTTTGTTTTAGGAAGATTTTTACATGTGGCCCACATCTGTTTACACAAGGCTAAATGCTTCAGTGACAAACAATTATACAAGAACAAATGTTAGCGTTCATCACCTACTTTACTGTCTTTTGGGAATGGACATGGGTTTAGTCTGTTAAGACAAATCATATATACAGTACATGTAGGATGGGGGCAGTCATAGTCTTGTAGTGTTTTGGGCTCGCAGGTTTCAAGGTAGCATAAATATCTTGAATAGAAAAAAACAATTCAGTATTTAGTAGAAAATAATTTGGTTCATTAGTAGACCTATTTGGAAGTGTTTAAACAGCACTTATGCAACTCAGTGGCAACTGTCCAAAGTACCAGTAGTTGCTGTGACAGGCCTCACGAAGAAATTGATATAATTTAATGTTTTCTCCAAAGTCAATAAATCCAGTTTTCAACACATTTTTGACGAGTTATAGAAGTAAGATTTTCCACAGTCCCACTGACCTATTTTATTGCCACAGATTGACACGCTTTAAAAATAACTTAAATGAGTGCATTTGAGTGGTCCTTGGCCGTCATTGGAAATACTGTGGTGCTGAATTTGAGTGGGTTGGTCATTTGTAATGAATGGTTATTATAAATCAGATGTCTAAGATTTGTCAGAGGCTTGTTTTAAAAGCACAAGAGCTTAAAATAACTCGATAATTATGAGTCAGCCAGTGCCACTCATTCAAGCTCATGTTCCTTCATTTTTGTTTTGTCTGTCTTGAACGGTGTGAAGTGTCTTTTAGTGTCATGAATCACTACACAAGTGTTACGTATATATATGTATTTTTCAATACCAATGTCACAACTACATCTTATGAGAAAACACATACAAACTGCATACAGTAATCTTAGATTGGACTTTGTATATTGTAAAGTAAGGGTTTGACAAGCAAGTCATAATAAATATTGGCATAAATGTCATATTTCAAGCCAGTTTTCCCCCAGCTTGTGGTCTGAAAATCTATTTGAGCAGAGCTTTTATAGGTGTTGCACCCCCGAAATGAACGACAAGACTCGCGCAATCTACTGTTGTAAACAACACGTTGCCATTGATCACTTTTTATTCATTTCTATTCCACACAAGTCAAAGATACTAATTCATTTACTTTCTCTTTCTATCTCCAGTTAAGCACCATGGAGTCATAACACAGTGCACCTCTTGAAATCATCTCTGTAAACACAACTCAAACTTCACCTGTGTTTCGTGTCTGCTCCTCAGATCCTCCCTCTCTGACATGGCCTGCCACTCTGCCCCCTCTCTCCTCCTCACCACATTTACCGTGCTCACCAGACGACTACACCTGAGCGGAGGCGAGCTGAGGCCGTTATTAATGGCCTTCCTTATTTTAAACGACAGACTGAAACAGGGCGCCACCACGGCAGACCAGTACGGAGTCATTCACCCATCTGTCTGCACTGCGCTGCGTCTGCCTTCAGTCCTAATGGGCCCGGCCGGTCGCTATGACACCAGGCTATAATGCACCTACATCTGTCTGCTGGTTCACATCGAGAGCACACACACATCCATCAACATCAGCTGACAGGAGGAATGATTGCACTAACTGTAATGCAGATATTCAATTCAAGTCATTACTTCTTTGGAGAATGGAGTAAGAGTTGTGAGGCAAAATAAGACAAGACTTTCTAATAGCTCCACTGTGTAACTTTTCTGCTGGAGAGTTAGCAACAGGTTTCTTTCCATGGAGCTACTGCTTCTGTTCCTGCAATGTTCAGTCGTATGGCATTAAACTCTATCTCTATGGAGACACATAGCACCACCTGGCCAAGTCAGATCTGTGGAGAGGCAACCTTCTCACAGTAAAAACACATTTGGCTTTGGTATTTTGGGGCAGAAAAAAAAACTACCGGAGATTGGTTAAGTACAAGATAGAAAAAGAAAGTAGGAAGCCCCTCCTTGACAACAATAATGCACCTTTATTATAGACACAGAAAGCTGTAGTACTTTCACAGTCCAAGTTAAAGTCATACTACATATCAGCACAAGTGGTAGTTGCTCAGCCAGCAGAGAAGTCCTTGCATTATGCTTTATCCCCACAAGACAACATTGCATACTGCCATTGTGTTCATGGGCAAGACATTTTCTTTGAACTGAGAAGGACACAATTTTAATTTAGGTAGAGGTTCAAGAACACTGTCAATTTGTTTTTGGTACTATGAATGTCACAAGGCTATTTTCCTGCACACACTATAGATGTTAATGGGACGTTCTCTTTCTGCAGTTTTCTTATTCCTTGACTTCTCTTGCCTTTCATTTGTCCAATCTGCGCACCTCCCCGCACCCAGTTGTGAGTTTTGACATGCGTCTGATGTATGTGTCTCCTCTCGGACGTCCTGGTGCTCACTGACGACCTATCAATCACAGTGTGGCCAAATTCAGTGCAGCTCTCAGCCAGTCCCTCCAGGCCTCAGCACAGTGCAGTGTCTGTGTTTCCTATCACTTTAACATGTGGATTTATTGAGCATGTTTTAAGGGTGTTTTACAGCTGTCTGAATGAAGTACCAGAACTTGTCACCTACACAGTATCTCCTTCACAGTTCTGCTGTAATAAGCTGCTGCAAAGGTCATTGGAGCCACTGCTCTACACCTGCTGCCACAGACAGTACTCAGAAGAAAACTTTAATTATTTCAGAAAATAAAAAACCCTGCTGTTGTAGAATAAATTGTAGTAGCCTGAGAGATGAAGAGAAGAGGCATGGCACTGGAGTTCTAATATAGGAGAAGTTTATTTTACCATCACTGCAAGACTCAGCGCCCGGAGACATGAACCCATTATGACACATTATGATAGTGTTGTCTATTCTAGTCTGTTGTAGGGAGTATTATAGGTCTGATGATGCAGGCTTAGATAACAAGTACTGAGCTGGCAGCAAATGCCCTAGATACAGCACGGAAATGTGATTTCTGAGTACACAGTGCACATATACTTTTTATTAACATTTGATACAAATCAAGGTCCAATATTTAATATAGACTCTGATACCATACGCAAGGTTTACTCCTGTACCTGTGATTTCTTCTCTCTTTTACCATCTTCACATTTCCAGCATACTTGTATACGATCTAATGTCATTTTCAGCACTGGTTTTATTTAAAGGTCCACATTTTTCTGGTGGTGGGGCATATGGTCATTCTGAAAAAGATCTAAACCATAGTATCTATTTATTACCTGCCAAAACAAGTATAAATGCCTTTCATATTGGTTTGTAGAGTTTAGTATCTCAGTATTGATTTTTTTTTTTCCCCCTCACAACCCTACCAGGCAATAACACTGTCAATTTGAGTTTCAGTCCTCTCCAGCTCTTTCCAAATTACACACTTTTCATTTATGATAGACTACATTACAGATTGTCCATTTCACTTCACCGCAGTGCAGAGGCAAATGAACAGTGACGACTCAGACTCCCCAGTGGCACTAAAATCAAACACTTTAAATGAATAATAGTGGATGGATGTGGGGCAGGGGGTTAGCGGTGAATGCGAATATACCAGGTCCAAAGGGAGGTGGGGGGTCCATACAGTGAACTCGCCCATCCACACCCCCACCCCTCACTCCACGCTGCTGCTTTGATCTGTACTTCTTGGGCTTATCCCGTGGTTGAGAGAAAATGGGAAATGACTCATCAGCAGTAGGTTTAAGCAGAGTGTCAGCTTTAATATAGAGAATTATGAAGCGTGTCAGATTCAGAAGGCTCAGAGTAGATGTTAAAATTCTGTTTTATTTTTTGTCAGATATGTAACATGGTTTAGGAAACTTTTTATTAGCAAAATGTGAGCTTTTTCTCAGAGGTCTATTTATATCTGTTATGTTGTAAACTCAAATTAATATTGCTGTTATAATCAGAAACATATAAGGAGCTGGGCTTTATTTCATTCACATGTTTAACACACAAACCCTGCATATTTAGGCTAAGTCCTGCTGTCAAACAGAAAACAAAACATAACTCCAGGTATGTCTTTGATGAGTTAAAAGCATTATAACAAGACTTAAAGCTCACAAGAATCCATTTAATATAGGACCTTTAAAGTATGTTTAATTTAAAACATTTCATTGTTGTTTATCTTTGACCTTTTACTTGTTACCAGTCTCAGTCTAACAGGTGATCATTTGTTCATAGATACATAAATGCAAGCAGTTGTTTGGTATTCTAGATATTGAAGTAGATCCTGCGATGTTCTTTCCATATGAAGTGTGGACCTATGCAGCCAGTATCCTATGTGACAAACCTGGGTCAATAAATCGTAAAGGGGAGGGTCATCCAAACAAACCCGCTGCCATGACGATGAAGGTGAACACAAGAATTAGACTGCACAAAGAGGATTGTGACCAAATCTGTTACCAAATCTCTACTCTTAGCATAAGTTAGTAAAATCATTGTATAGTATAGTAAATAAACGATTACAAGTGCTTATTACCTACTGTTTGAAAGAAGAGTTTAGCAAACAAAATATAAAACAATATATTTTATTAGCTTTACTATCAACATAGCTCTTTGTGTTTTTTCATACAGATATACTATTTATAATAACACACATTTCTGAAAAATACAAAAGTTAAGTTGGGATAATTTTGGTGGATGTACTTCCCGGCCTGCAGGGAGCTCACTAAACCAGATAAACTGTAAAAACACTATTGAGATTACAAATATAAACACATAGCAGCATCTTTTATAAATCATATGTAAAGCATATAAAAAATAAAGCATTTTTACTCAATTAAAAGTAAAATCTAAAATTCAAGAGCACCAGTTAAAATGTGCCAGATGATATGGATCTCTAAGTGCCATTATTATTACAGGACTTCTATCATACATAGAGAATTTGAATAAAAAGGCCGAAACAAATACTGGGGCCATTGACAAATATGTACAACAAATATTAGCAACCCATTCATAGAAACAGTATATTTACACAGTTCAAAGAGTCCTGCTACAGATGACATAACCCCAAGTGTATGTTTTGGTTGTCAGGTGTGTGTTGTCACGGCGATGACCTTCAACCCGAGCAGTGCGGGAAAGCGAGGAAACATTTCAGCCATTTTGAAGTTTTGACAACGCCGTTCATTAGAACCTATTCACCAGCCCACTAGACTGTTGCTTTAACGTGAACCTTTTTTTCTTCTCCTCGTAGAATTCACTCAGATGACGGCGAATACTCGGAATGCCTTGCCCCCTGGAGGATTTTGTAGACTGTAAGGGGCCAAAGAAAAGAAGAAAAGTCAGTTAAAAACATACAGATTTACAATGGATGAGTTGACAGATGGATACCAAGAGATGGGCAAAGGGTGAAAGAACCAAAACACAGGAGACTTCATGTGTTACTCCAACAAAGAGCGGCGTGTTGTGGGGTGTGAAAGGAGGAGACAGATAAATGACAAGTAGATAGTGGCAGACGTCATGAGGCCTGACAGAGATGAATGCGGTGAGGAGAGATGAGGAGACATGGAGAGGAGGAATGAAGAGAGGAGAGAAGAGAGGAGGAGAGAGAGAAGAGGAGAGAAAGAGAGGAGGAGAGAGGTAAACTAGGAGTTAAAAAGACAAGGAAAGGAGGAGAGAGGAGGCAAGGAGATGAGAAGAAAGGAGACAAGAAGATGAGGACAGAAGAGACAGGTCGAGGTGGAGACAAGAAAGAGACAAGGGGAGAAAGAGAAGAGGGGAGAGGTGAACAGGAAAGAGGGGACCAGGGTAAAGAAGACAAGGAGGGGAAGAAAACAGGAGAGGAAGAGAAGGTGAGGAGAGAAGAGACAATGGAAGGAGGGAATAGGGGAGAAGGAGATGAACAATGAACAGTGAGTGAGTGAGTGAGTGAACAGGCAAGAAAAGGAACAAAGGGAATGAAGAGAAGAGGAGTGAACAGACTAGGAGAGGAGGTGAGGAGAGAAGGAGTGAGGGAGTAGAGGAGAGGAGGAATGAAGACAAAAGGTGATAGGAGACAGAGGATATAAAGAAAGAGGAGACAAAAAAGTGACATGGAAAGGAGTACAGGGGGGATAAGGAAAAGAAACAGGATAAGAGGAAAGAGGAGAAGAGGAGGAGGACATATGCATACCATATCATAGTGAATGAATTGTAAAGAGGTTGTCAGTCAGCACTGGGCTCTGTTTTAGCCCAATGTGTACTGAAAGTAATGTAGCAGTAATAGCACTTTCAAAATATTGAGAATATAGACATAAACTTTCAAAATCCATTGGTAATAACTCTAGTTTCTTCAAATGGGACCATGCAGGCCAGACACGTGTGTCACAGAGCAGAGGCTGGTACCTTAATACTACTCTGTTGACTGGTACCACTCAGCTCTTTCCTAAATCCAACCACCACCAAATACATGCTTCCCTTTTTTAAACCAGCACTCACACATCTTCTCACTATTAACACTTTTGAACCTCTCTGTTCTTAAGTTAATCTCCTTAAAATTCCTGTCCCTTCTGTGCAAATCAATGATGTCTCTAATTTGCTCGGTGTAAACACATCACACAAACAATGTTGTTTTTTTGCAGAATTTGAAGCAGTAATTTATGAAAAAGTACTGCTACTGAAAAAGAATATCTCTATGTGGCACTGAAAGTATCCAAATATTTACTATGTGGGGCACAGACTTTAGTTCCACTCTGTTTAAAGCCTGTGCTCGGAGCCACCCACTTACTCCACCATTTTTCCATTTACAAACTTCCTTCGGATTATTTATTGAAGCTTCATCCGACTTCCTCTTCTTCATCCTTGCCACTACAGAAAATGGTCTTGTTATTTGCACTCTAATTGGCATCTAATTAATTGTTTTAGACAGAAGCACTCTCCCATGTGAACGGCATCAAAGCTGTAATCAACAGTTTGCATCTTGAAAAGATTAGTTCCAGAAGGAAGGACCAAAGTGGATGAATCTAAGTCAACCTAAGAGCAATTGATTTCAAAGCCCCTGTTTACCTCTGAAAATCCACCTTCTCAGTTTTAAAGGGCCCATATTACGTTATTTTTAAAATTTATCTTATAATGTTGTTTCTGGAGTTGTGTTTTGTTTCATTCCCTATTTAGGCAGTTCTTCTCTCAAACAGAAACCACCCTGTTCCATCTTATGAGTCATTTGGATCATTTCAGTCCTATAATTTCCAATCTCTACCAAACAAAAAGTGAAAAGTAGCTGTTAACTTGAAAACTACAGCTTCATGACATCACAAAGTGAAATACAGCATTTTGGAGATGTAGACAGACTTATAATAAAAAGTTATTCAAACATGTATGAATGAAACAAAACACAACTCCAGGTATGTTTTTGAGGAGGTAGCAACATTATAATATGGATTAAAGATCACAAGAATCCATAGCACAGGACATAATACATTGGCAAACAAGTACGGTAATCTTTTTATTGCTTTCTTTGTCATTCATGGTACGTATATTTTATAATTTCCTGTAATGCTGCAACTTCAGTTTAATACACAGAATACTGTACCTTTCTGAAGAAATTCCATTTTGATATGAAGCTATGTAGTGTCTCCTCTTATCCACCGGCATCACATCAATGTAGCCTCCTGCGTCATTCCTGATGACCCCAGCGTGAACTGCAGCTCGACAAATACTGGATTTCTAAACAACACAAATATAGACAGGTCAATGCATCTCTCAGCCCGGCAGTGAAGCAAATAAATACCTTAAGCATCAAAAGGGAGACTTACATCAGAGTATATTCTGGTTCCTATTACTCTGGATATGTGGGCGTTCTCCTCTAAACAGTTTCTTGGGCAGTATAATCTAGATAGAACAATGGGCTTACAATTATAGTATACAGAAGATTGAACTGTGTTTTGATCACTAGGCTATGTAATATACAGGGCATTTTTTCACAAAATAATGTATTTGATACAATAGGTCATTGGCATTTAAAAAAAATGCTAAAATTTATTATTTCAAATAAATCAAAAGAAAAAGCAAATGATACCTTGGGCAGTGTGTTGAAGGTTTCTCATATGGACAGAGCATCGCTACTGTTGTTTCACATGTAACAGCTTGAACTGTGAGAATAAAATACATTCTTTGTGAATATTATGATGAGGTATAGGAAAGATTACACTGTACTTGTACTACTCAGTGTTACCTGTCACTTTAGAAACTGTGAATGAATTGGCACTCTGGTACTTCCTATAATACAGAAATACATGTTGCTTATAATAAATATAGTTAAAAATACAAAAGCCTTATATTTTTCTCACCCTATAGATTGTACCCCATTCTTGTATGATTTGATGAAATAGTCTTTTCTCCCTTGTCTGCTCACGTCAAGCCATCCTCCATCATTATCTATGACTCCAGCGTGTAGGCCCGCTTTGCAGACACTAGATTGCTGAAAAAAGTTAAATATTGACAACATTAGCACCGTTTGCTGACCTGGTGGTAAACAGCAGCTTTTAAAAGGCTTGGTCAAGGATGTTTGACATCTCTCACAGCTGATAATGGCGGCTTATTGACCAAAACAAACCCACTCAAGCCACAATCAATTACCTCACTCACCATTTCATAGTACACTGTGCCCACCACTTTCCCAGGGGCATCTAAACATCCCGCTGGACATTCATATCTAGACAAGAAAAGAAAAATAGGAGAATCAGCAGTAAAATCATTAAAATGTTAACAAATATACAATTATTCATAGCAATTTACTGCACAATAATAACTGAAACGAATATTTAAAATCAATAAATGTGGTCACTAAATGAACCAGGACACATATCTTATTGTACTTTTCATGGGAATATGATTAATAAGGGAATCTAAATGAATTTGTCCCATTGCCAGGCTACAATTAGTACAGCACAGACCCGTTATTGTTTTTTTAAAGTATGAAAAACATGATGGATTACTTTCATTTTTGTTTTTAATTGCCTAATATTTATATGAAATCAATCAAGCTTAATATGTGGGGACTTTGTGCACCAGATGCCCTTCCTTTCAAGACTTACACAAAAGTTCCACTTGACTCTGACTCCCTCTTTTTTACCTGTTGCATGTGGTTCCTTTACACTGGTCTCTCAACTTTGTGTCGCAGGTGACGAGCTGAGCTGCGAAACAAACACACAAATAAGCTCACTTTTCAGACAAAGAAAAATCCATGTTTTGAATTCAAGCTACAAGGAGGTGGTCAGCAGTATTAAAGGAAGTATCTCGCCTTACAGAGACAGGCCCCATGTGCAGTGAGAGGAAGCCATTTAAAAACCACAGCAAGCCCCTTTCAACTCGCCTTCATCAGCCAAGAGCAAACACACAGCTTCGGCCAAACCGTACCAGGCAAAATTAGGTATAACTGAGAATCTGTCAACTTTAATTACTTTGACAGTGGACTATTTGGTTATTCACTTTTACCCCTTTTCAACTTTACAGGCTTGTCTATATTTTGTCAGTTTTGCATTGGATTTACAACATGATTTTACTTTGTTGAGATACTGGATTTTAGACTGTTTTATTCCAGTGGGAAAGAGGTTAGATTGCTTGTGAATTGCTTCAGAAATAAATTAGAATAAGTTTACACCTTCCCACGGTCCTGTTTGAAAATGTAGCAACTTGTAGAAAATGTTTGATTACACAATAACATTAAAAACATTAATTCATTCAATCTTGATTTGCTGGGGAATAAGTACACTCCCTTGTGCTTTGTCAAGTTTTCTTCTGCTCCTACTTTGGAAAATAATTTCAAGTATCAGTGCTTTTTACATCCAGCACTACAAATTTGACCTACTTAGTAACAATTCTCTTAAACTTGTCCTTCTACTGGTTTTTACCACTGTGACCCTCCCAAAGTTAAAACCAGATCCCCCATTCTGAGCTCTAACGAGACCCAGAATAAACAGTTAAATGGCAGCTTACACATCTGCTGTGTGTTGACCACCTCATTCCTGTGCAGGACCTCTGTAGGGGGTCGTGTAGGGGCTGGGGCGGGGGCCCGGGGTCGAGCTCGAGGGGCCTCAGGTTCAATGAAGTTGTTTTCTTCTGTTTCCTCTTGGTAAGGGTTGTAGCTGTCATCTGAAAAGAGGGTCACATGTTATGATACGACTTATTTACTTCCACTGAAGACTAAGTACATGATTGGCCTACCTTCTTCTGCAAAAACTAACTATGCAAAACTAACTAAGCCAAGCTAGTACACAAGTTGTATACACATTATTTCAACTTTCAAGTTAAATGGACAAAGTAACAGTCACACAGCTTTGGACCTCAAGACAGTAAGTGGATACTGGATACACATTCTTATACTTTAATTTAGCGCACTTATCATGATGTCTTCATAGTCCAATCTTAATCTGATTTTAGATTTCACATACCTTTGTAACATTGGTTGTCCTTGCAGCCTCCCCCATAACTCGGAGGACAGGCTGAACACGGGGTCCCATGTTTGTATGGAGCATGACCCCACCAGTTCCCCCTGTTCAAATCACACACAAAATACAACATAGCAGAGAGTTCTAGTGGGAATAGGCTGAAAATATTTGTCACCTCAAACTTTAACATTTTGACAGATTTGATTTTCTCTGTCACTCATTCATCAAAAAGTGTGTTTACTTTGGAGAGTAGTTGCAGACAAGATAGACAGCCTTGGCCCAAATCTGCCCCCAAACATTCATATTGTAGCATAAGTTGATCGCACAACCGATGCGACTGCTGGTGGCCCACACAAGCTGAAAAGTAACAAACATATCCATTAAATAATACATTTCGAAAATTAAGGTGAGTGAAGTACTGGACCTTTTCAGTCAAAGTACCTGTGTGTAGTGGGTGCAGACTGGCCCAGAGCATCTGAATGGACAGTAAGGGTTACACTCTTGGGGGTAGGGATAGGAGAAGTCTTTCACTTCATCATACCACGCCTGGACATGGAACGTAGGCGGCTGATACCTGCACAGAGGAGAAGAATCAGGAGAAAAATATTTACAAAATTTGTCCATTTTGATGTAGTATTTTGGAAAACATTCTAACACATCATCAATGTAATACTTTTTCCTATCAATTTCCTTTTTCACATAATCATCTCTTTTAGTTCAAGCTTGGGTTTAGCCCTTCTTTTGACTGTAGTATTTGTCTTGTGTGGTGTAGTAATCATGAATGGTAACAAAAATTACAACATGCAAAAATTAAAGGTTAACTGTAAAATTTGTTCAGAGGCCTAATTCTGTAATCATTACTTTATCATCAGAGGCTTCCGAGTAGAAGAGACCAGTTACAATGTAAAACCAAAAACTGCCAAAGTTCATAAAGTTCACATAGTGTGAGACAGTTTATGGTGCAACCAAATGAATAAATATCAAATTCTGTGCAAAGGAAAACATAAATGTAAAGTTTTCATCTGGTTGTTAAGAAAATTATGTCAATAATCAAGAGTAATTGTTAAATCAACCTTCTCATAATAATTACAACATAAAGATTTGATATTGTGACACCTCGAAGGGTAAATGATGAACCTAAATGAACTAAATTAACTCAGATGCCCTCTGTGCTACAACAGTAATCACCTTCCCCAGTGAGCGCCTAAGTTCTGTCCAATCTGAGGCAGTAGACCAGCAGGACCATGTTCCCACAGGCAGGTCTCAGCCCACTCCTCAGCTGTGCGCTCCAGTTCAGTGTCCCAAACCTGCAAAATGTAAAATGTAAATCAATCTACTATTTACAATTTACTTCACAACCAAGCTTTTCTTAAATGAATTCACTGAGATGGAAGAGAAAACTAGTTTGGTAAAAGCTGAAAAACATCTGTAAGGAAAAGTAAAACACTGAACTTGGAATTACAAATTTGGAAAATATCTGTCATGGAAGAAATTAGTTTTTGGTACTTTTTGGTTTAAAACAGGCACACGTGCACCAAATTGGGGATTCGGCTGGAGTCTAGCTTTGCCTTACACAACATCACAACACTGAGCGCCACATTATAAATTAAACTTTAGAGCTGTCACTGGCAATATAATAAAAAGGCATTGCAACTTGATACTAAAGTACTATTATGGGTTTACTCCTCATTTTGAGCATTGCTGACTGTGTAAAAATCCTGCACTTTGCCGCTCAGCTGACTACCCTCAAATGGGTTTTCCCGTAATATTGAGCGTTATTCCAAAAATGCCAAAAGGCTGTTTTACCTCTTAAGTAATAACTTCCATATGGTCCTGCTGGAGAGATGAGGGACGGGTTTCACCTCTGTCTTTCTGAATTGGCCTCCTCTGTTTCAGGTTTGGCTCAAGTCGGATACTAAATGGATCAGATTCCCATTTGAGGGTTTTCCAAGAATGCACTCTGTGTCCTTCATTTGTGCTGACCTACATTTGACCATTAAACATGCTGCAGTAATGCCAGAACCAACTGTAGCTTGTTTTATGTTGTGTATGTTTGTCTATGCATCTGGCTACTCCTTTTTTTTCCAGGGAATTTTATGTCATATACTCTTCCTTATGCTCCTAGCGGCATCACTGTGACTAGAATTGGCAATGGAATCAAACCTTCAGGAAAAGAGTATCAAATGTCTGCTCTCTGCTCTTGAGGAAGTGATTGTATAAATATAAATAAAAAAAAATTTCTTCTATTGATCTACCACAGTCTCTCAATTGAAAGAACATAAACAGTAGGCCTTTAAGCGATGCCAATTCACTGAAAAAATAAAACATATTGTAAGTATGGACTCCAAGCAATATGCTTTTAGACCATTTGAAACAACTGGATCTTGGTTTGATATAACTTTGATTAAAAGCAGAGATCTAACTAAGAGAGCCAATATATGTCACCACCAAATACTTTTTTTTATTTCTACTTGTACTACAAAATTAGTTTACTTAATTGTATGTGACTCTGAAAACCCACCTCTGTCTGCTTGGACTATTTGTGAGTAACCAACCATCACCAATCGAAACAAGTGCTGCTCTCTTCATTCTTTGTTATAGTTACACACACCTATGGCCAACAACAGGATGTCTGGCTGCGCAGCAAATGAACTGTTAAGTCTGAGCAGTTTCTTACACGGGACTTCTGGGAATCCAGTCGACGCTGTTTGTTTAAATCAATAATGCAGAAAATAGTGGGATTTGGAGATAAACACAGCTCTTTGTAAGGCTAATTGTTTGCTGTACACCTGCATAGATAAACAGAGGAGACTATATAGAGAGCTGCAAGTCGGAGCTGACACATTTGAGTGTGTTGTAACAGCTAATGAAGCAGCAACAGATTGGCATGTAGTTATCAGTGAACATGTTAATTGAAGCTTTTTTTCAATTAGATTTCCTCTAGCAAGATGAAAAACACAGTCAATGCTTTCAGTGATCAGGAGGTTGGAATACATTGAGTAGAGTTGTAGTAATTGTTGCCAGGTCAGAAAGTCAAAGCACACTGGGTTTGTTGTGTGGGCTTGCATAAAGATGCCTATTCATGTGATAAGGACTCATTTGTGGTAAACAAAAGGTTAAAGGTAGTTTTTGACTTGAAAAGTATGTTTCATGACATCACAAGGTGGAACAGAGCATTTGAGACAGACTAATAAAAAAGGATTACTCAAAAGTGTGAATGAAACAAAACACAGCTCTGTGTATTTTTAAGTACATAAGAGTCAATTTTGTGTTATACAGGACCTTTAACACACAAATTTAACAGCATATTATGTAACTGAACTTGGCTTGCATTTCATAACATAAGTCTTATCTAAATTAGGATTGCTGTTTTTAGATTTGATTGATTGATTAGATTTTGGAGCTTTGGAGCAAGTATGCGCCACAATATCACAATAGTATCTTATTAGGCTTCCTTTACACACCATAGTGCTTTTTGTTTTTGTTTTGTTAGAAACACCAAATCATTCAGTGCTGCAAAATTTTTCAGCTGGTTAAATGAGAAAAAAATGTGACTGTTAATCAATTCTAATCTTGAAAACAACACTAACATTTGAAAATTTAAACAAAGTTAATCTAAGGCTTACTACTTGCCTTGACATCCAGAATCACAATAATAATTAAGTCTATTCTGTAGCTTTCCACTGCCAGAGTTGTCGTGCCAAATAACCTGTCTCACATATGCCAGATTCCCGCCTGATCTTTTTTTTTCAGGCTTGGCGGTGCCACTGGCTTGTAACAAATCATGCTTTTAGTACTAAAGTGTCACAATTTAGCAGCCTGAACTGAAGGACTGCACTGTGGGTGAGATAAAACGAGTGGTGGATTTTGCCCGCTTTAGAGCAGGTATAAAGCACAGCCGTCTTGTCAGGCCACAGTTGTTTGCACAGTTACGCAGCAGGGGAGGCCTAGTAACAAGGACCCCCCAACCGTGGGCCCCTCCCTGACCACACTCCTGCCTGGGGCCCTAAAGAAAAACACCTTAGCTCCTACACTCTATCAGCACCGCACACACGGCATTGTTTATTTCGTTTCACACTTCATTTGTGGCTTTTTTTTCCTTGTCCCTGGTCATCTGGTTACATTCCAAACTCCATCGTGGGGTACTTCCTTTGCACGTCCGGGTTTCCTGTTCATAATCAATAGGGCATGTGAAGGAGCACAGCCAATTAATGATATAGGTCAAGTGGTTTCAAGGTATTACTCTGTCCAGGTGGCATTTTGTCAAACTATATTAAAGCCAGCACTAAGGTATTTAGAGCCAGATATTTCATGCACCTAAAATTCAAACTAAAGCATGTATTATAATTTTGCTATTTGATTTAATAGGCATGGGGACATATTATGTAAAATGTACTTACATGAACAGTTTTCATCATTAGTTTACTCTGAGTTGTATATGATTCATGCATGTTTCAGTAATCCTTAACAGTATTGACCACTGAAATCCTCTAACTCCTGTGATAAAGCACACACAAGAGTTACAATACTGTGATAGTATTGCACCAGGATCGGGAGTGCCAAGCTCAGTGCCAATACAGACTGGCTCTGGACCAATGCTGTTGCAACTTTCATTAGCGTTTATAGAAATTCGACAAAAGCTCCTCCCTGACCTACCACTCCTGATCCATTTTCTGGTCGTCACATTTTTGTTTCCAGGAATCTTCCTTCTTTCTTCCTCAGTACCTTGTCTTTGGCCAACCATTATGTAACAAAAATGTTCTAAATCAATTTTTGTAAGATGTTAAGACTTGAATCAGATATCATGGTTAGTCAGAGTGTATGTAAGTAATTCTGAGTTGAGTGACTGTAAATGTATACATCATCCCATTGCTTCTCATTAGTGCATATGAAATATATAGATACTTAACAAGCAATCAGCCAATGATCTTCATGTTTCTAAAGAAGGCCATTTTGTGGACTTTGACGATTCAAAAAAGAATAATTTGTTTTCAGTCGTTAATAGCTCTGACAAAGGTGTTAATTTATCATCACTCTGAAACCCATGTATAGCTACTAAGCTGTATCGACAGTACCGTGAATAAGTGCTGTTAGATGTAAGTATTAACTGACATTATGTCACTCTCCTAATAGTAATTTGAATTTATCTGGGCATAGTGTTGCCACATGCAAGGGACCCTCGTGACTGGATTTACCTTGCATGACCATACCCAACTGCAAACCCACAAACACACATTTTACATCTTTCTTTAAATCTCACACAGTAGCAATTGAAGACAAATTTACAAGTCTAGACATTACTTACATTTTATAAGTCGCACTATTTTAAGTTAAATAAAGATGACCAAAGACTGCTGCACAGTCTAAATGATGTGTAACCTGAAAAATGTCAATCCAAACCGCTAACACCACCGGCAGCTTGGGCCAGTTGCCCAGCACAACCAAGGTAAACAAATCAAGGCAGGTTTTCTCCCATGATGCATCTGTTTGTCTAGTGGCACTTCAAATACTCGCACGTCTCTGTCTATACCTGTGGGTCAACCTTAACCGCTGTCCCCCCTACACTGACGATGCATTGATGTTTTTGGCAGAGTCGCTGTAGTGTGAATGCTTATCCGGGATTTTAGGGGCCTCTGTGTGTTGTATAATGACAGAATGGGAACGGAGCCATAGGGATAAGAGACAGAGGGAGTCAGAGAGGAAACAGATGAAGTGGGAGGAAAGACAGGGATTTGAACTGATGTTATCAAAGACTACCTCAGAAGGGCTCTGAAGTTTGGGTTTGATCCACAATAACACACAACAGAAAACCAGTTGAGTGCACAAAGAGACGTCTGTCCCTCAAATTGTTAAGGTAATACTATGTCTCCACATTGTACATGCTTGTAAAGGAAACATAAAGGAACTTGGCTAAAATTTCACTGTGCCTAGATTGTGTATATTACATTAAATGAGAGGTCTACCCAAAAAATCCTAGTAGGGTTACACAAGCGCCATATGTGCTTTACGTCCATTAGTATAACATAGTGTATAACAATCTAAAATCCCTTTTGCATCTGCGGAGCCTCTCTCTAAGTTATTATAATCTGTCCACACCCCACTAAACTTGTACTTTCTTCTTTGCTTCAAACCTGCTATCCCCTTGTTGCATGCCTCTCCGTACTTCACCCCTGGGTGCCCCCGCAGCTAAAAAAGCCAGCCAACTGTAACAGGAGACAGTGGAGAAGGAGCTGTGTGCCGCTGGCTCAGCAGTTCTCCTCCTCCAGCAGGCTGCCAGAGCGCACCCCTTTGCACACACCACATGAGGGGTCGTTAAGTCTAACCTCTCAATTATACAATTACACAGTCCAGCAATTGCCCCCAGCAGGAACTGTTTATTTGCCATAACCACAGAATAAGCCTTTTGTTTTCAGGGTCTTTAAGCCAAGATGAAACAGTGATAAAAACTCAGTGCGTTTTGCACACTGTATTGATTTTCAAGCCCCAAAGTACAGTTAGTGGCCATGGGCTGTAGCAGTCAAGCCATGCCTTTATTTGGAGAAGTTCCAGATGGTTGGCGATGAGATTTTCTCTAAGTGCGTGTGTGTATGCACGTATGGCATATGCTTGACAGGGAGGAGGGGGGTCCAGCTGGTAAAATAAGCCCCCAGTGATTCTAATTGCGCTCTGAAATGTGATCCGCTGCTTTATACGCACACGTGATGGCTAAAGGATAAAGTCAAACAAATCTCTTAGCATGAGTAAGAAAAAACACAGTAGTAATGTGATCGTTGGCAGGTTGCAGGAATTCAGTGCTGGCAGTGGCAGGAGTCACATGGGTCCTGACTTATGGGAGGAGAAAGTGGAGGGCTAGTGTGGAGGTGCTTAGGAAATGTTGGCATGCTGATTATGACCAGGCCAAAAGGGACAAGTGCCAGCCAGTCTGGCGGTGACTGGGTCAAACTATATTACCCGAGATTTAAATGCACAGCAGGAATTTGAAATGGGGCCACAGCTGCATAATGATCGGTAATATGGTTTTAAATGAAAGCACACACACATACATAAGGTGAAGAAGGGAACTCTTCAGGTGCAGACTGCAAGCATCAGTGTCAAATTGATTGGCATTGTAATCAAGAACACTGCTAGTTTATCATGCAATTAGTAGATGCAATAATATAATGAATGTAATGTGATACACTTATTTGACCAATCAGAAAGCTCCACTCTCGCAAGTGTCATGCCAACACTTTTAACTGATGGATAAATTGCAACACATTTTTCTTCTTTTACCTCTGTAGTCTTTTAGATATTTTGAATATTGTTATTGGTGTATTGGATAGAATGCATCACATTTATGATTTTTATAACATGATACCATGTCACTTACCATGTACTCCATGTTGGATGCTGGGGGGTACACCTGCCCCCTGAGCTTGTTGTGAAGGTCCAGGATGAGCTGTGCATCGCTGTCTGTTATGGCTCTCTTGCCCCTCCCTTTGGCCTTCCACATCGCTCCATCCTCGTCCATGTACTTGTCCAACATCTGCTCCAGGCTGGAGTTAAACGGCAGCGCAAACGAGACTGGCATTTGGATCAGACAGAGCAAGAGCATGGATCTGCATTCTGGCCAGTGAGTAGACAAGAACCTCATCCTGGTAGTGGTAAATTTTGTTGTATAGTCTTCAAATAATGGAGGGGAGCTGTGTAGGCCAGTCACAAGAATCACACTTTCTGTTAGGAAAAGAAAAGAATGGGACAATATATTAGCTACAGAGGTAAATTTTTCACCATTCCTTTGTGACACCGAAGAATAATTTTGTTTGTTCATTGTACTCTGGCAAATGCAGAGCCCATGCGCAAAACCAGTTAAAAACGCATATCACTGTACGTTGAGCTTATGATGGATTTCCATATTACCTAAATACGTTTATATACTTTTACTATTCACTGGTAATAGCCTCACAAAACAAGCTAGAACAATAGGCTTTTATTTAAATTAGATTAACAGTGCACCTGCAACTTTGACAGATAAACTCCGTGCTAGCAAGCATGCAAAACTAACAAACAATAAAAATAAAAAAAATGCGTGCACAATTAAAACTATGTAGCAAATGCTAACTTACATTTATTGGGAGTCTGTACGCGTCTCCAGGGAAATTAGCCAATGTGAAAACTGCAGCAGTAAAAACGCAGTTTGGATGTTTGCAACGTGCAGAGCAACTTGTGGAGCGCTAACCTCAGCCGCTGGATAGAGAAAAGAGGCTGCGGGGATGTTTCTTCTGCAGGGTTCATACTCCAAAGCCGCTAAAGCATCACTTGTGCACACTTTATCCCCAACTTTAGTTTCACTCTCGGGCGCCGCCTCTGACCCCGCCTCTGGATGGATGATACGGCCCTCTGCTCCTCAAACTGTGCAGGCTCATGGCACTAACAGGTACCGGGAACTTGGAAGGCACATGCGTTATGATTTTTTGATTATTGTTTGAAAAAAAAAAGAAGAAAAAAATATACAAAACTGTAGGCTAATTAAAATCTTCTTGTTTGCTTATTACTGAGGTAGCCAACACCCAGACATTATACATACTAAGAAAATATTTGGAAAGGCATTATTTGTATTTGTTGTATTTATTTTGTATACGACTATATTTTACAGTAGAAATGGCCTTTCATAGTTGCTCATTGATGGCAGTAGTCATAGTAACCAGAGTAGTGAACAGTGATGACGCACCTTATAGTATGCTACAGGCCTATGTGTTTCAGAACATAACTTTATACACTTAACTATTTTCTTGACTTTAATTTCTTTGGTGAATATTTGTTGAGTAAGTAATTTATACATTTTTCTTCGGAAACTTAGGAATGCATCAATACCGGTATCGGATATTGGTGCCAATACTGAAACATAAACCATATAAGTGGACATAGCTAATGGAAGTGCGCCAGGAGGCTCTTCCGGCTCCATCTGACCCTGGCTCCAACTGACTTACATTTCGATCTTGTCGCCCCTTTCTCTGTAACTGCTGCAGTGAGCCTTGTCATTTTGGTTTTAAAATGTTCGTGTTAACCCACTCCACATGATCCTGATTTATTTATTTATTTTTTGCTATTTCGTTTGTCAAAAAATCCTATTCATAACATACGGCCTGGCTCCAGATTTGCTCCTGTAACCGTGAGCATCACGAGCTTCATTTGAGTGGCACTGAACGCTGTGGGTGATGTCACACTCCCTTAGTTCACTTTTTTTATACAGTCTACATAATTGGAAATCGGCTTCCAAATATTGGTTTAGCAGATATCCTGGTTGGGCAAAGAAATTTAATAAGATTTTACTGATTGTAATCATCTTTTTTTTATTTATACAAAGTTGTTCTATGGTTACTTGAGAGATAAATAACAGCTGAATAAAAGACTTGGATCAGTTTTGTTTTATTTTTGTTTAGTTTTAAGGAAATAAATGCTGCTTTCAGTCTCTGCACTTGTATTGATTGATATTGGGTATCAGTAGATGTATAAAGCTATATTATCAAAGTCAGTATCAGAACTGAAAAAGCTGGATCAGTGCATCCCTTCAACAAACATAATAAAACAATAAATCAATGTCTTCATCTTTAAAGTGTAATGTAAGCTCAAAGCTGCCACTGTGTTTTGTGACCTTTACTGGTACCTCCAAATCCTTTAACCTAATCTAAACCAGACCCTGCTTCTCCTCAGGGGTCTGGGCTTCCAAAATGGCTTCATTCTCTGGAGCCCTAACCGCTTACAGGTTAGGACTTCTTTGGGGGGATTAAACACAAACCCTCTCATTGTTAATTTCAGGTACTGCGTTTGTCGTCAATATTTCCTCTCACGTATGCACCGCCCCTGTTCCTTTAACCGTAAATATGGAGCCAGCAGATTCTAGATTGTCTTCTCTGCTCTGGTCCTTTTCACTGGAGCCCTGGCACATGTGGCAACAGTAGCTAATAGGCCACCGCTGCAGCCCCCCGCACACACTTTCCACAATCAACAGTCCCACAGTGTTTCATCTGACAAACGTAATAAAGGCACATACAGGAAACCATGGCACAGTTTGCTTGTATAGTTAATGAGCCTGTTTCTATGACAACCAAATATTTTACAACTTCCGTTTTTGTTTTTTTTTTTTGTTTTGGGGTTTTTTGGACTTTGGCACGTGAACGGACTTGGAATGAATGCATACTTAAAGTTCACAATGGGCAATTGTCCAATGCACAAAAAAACACTTTTTACTGGAAAATAGCTTGTCTGGCCCCTGCCCGAAATTATAAGTGTGTGCAAGTCCACCTACAGGCTTACCTCTCCCGGTGTCAATCAAGATCAAAGCATTTACCACCAGCCGCATAACTCCATTCTTCAAATCAGGTGATTCTGAAGATAGATGGGCTTTCACACACTCATGAGACTATAGTTATGTAAGTAACAGTTACTTTCATAACTATAGTTCTATTACACATGTGCTCTGCCCACTTATGGGCTTTGCTGTTGGTTGCTCACTGAGGTGATGGCTATGGGGATAGATGCACCTCCATCTGCATAGACTCTTAAGATTGGCAGAGTAAAATGAAGCTCTGTGAACCTCACACTCATGGTACACAGGCAGCCTAGGCCAAGGCACCACAACCGGGTCATGCTGCAGAGTATCAGCGTAGAGCACTAAGCCTGATCACTGCAGACTGAATGGCTGAGGTGATGGCCTTTGGCTGGAAGGTAGGGCTAGAGATGAGCCAAGCAACCACTTTCTCTGAAATGCATGTAGGAGTGGTGAACCAAGGCACAGGCCACCCGCTCTATTTAGGAAGGACAAGGCCCACAGGCATGCAGTTTGTCCTAAGTCAGCCATTCATTCTGCTCAAATAACGAAAGTTCTGGAATCCAACCAGAGCGTGACAAACCGTGTGTCTCAAATGCGGGAGCATCTCTTCTCAAAAGTGTGTCATTTAGAAAAAAAATATTTCTAGATAAATAAGAGTTTGGTGATTTGATTGTTGATTCTGCAGAAATTTGAAATCAGAACAGTCACATCAGTTTGTTTTTTTGTTGTTGTTGTTGTTTGTTTGTTTGTTTGTTTGTTTGTTTGTTTTCCTTTTTAGCCGCCATTTTTGTCATGAACGCAGCGTGTGTCTCTCGGATTGGTTTATTCGCCTGTCACTCACGGCTATCTGAAATTAGGATGACGGGATATGGTTCCAGACCCATATCATTGTAAAGTTTTGTCAAAGCATGTGGTTTTGGCTGGCCAGGTAAGATGGCAACACCCATAAGGCTATATCCCTACGGTTGGCACCCAATAAATGTTTTATACTGTTTACAATTACCACTTTTGTTTTATTCATGCATCATTTGCTGACGTTCTTGCTGTAAATCGCCCATGTCAACTGAATTGGCAAAGCCAATTAATATCACTTTAATCTAACTTTGTGATAAAACATAAAATGTAAGACTATGTCAAGTTTTCCACTGAGAAACCCAATGAACCCAAATCAGAATGTAGCCTAATATTTGTGCCAAAACCGGAGAACCAAATAACACAAAGCAAGAGTAGCCTCAAGCAACAAACCACGAACACGTCTTGCACAAGCAGAAATGAGAAGAGAGGGAGACCAGTGTTATCTGTTACATCGCTCCCTAATGGTTTTGGTTGGGGCTGAATTGAGGTTGCAGCGCTGGAACAGAGCCGGGGTGAACACGGGGCTAAAGTGCATCAGGGTGGTTTGGCGCACACAGTGAAGACGGCCCTCTAGAGACTGTAAACGATCAGTCCCGGATCACATACAGACTCTTTAATGAATCTCTGTCTCTCTCTACCCTCTAGTGGTCATTAGCTGCAGTTGCAAGTGATGACAGCATGACATTGTCAACTTTAAAAGCAAAATCTTTGTTTATTATTGGAAAGCGAGATTTTGTTTCAGCAATTTCCTTTGTTCGCCTTTTGTTTCTGTCTTTTTAAAATTTTTTATAATTAATAGGATATGCAGTAAGGCATTTCTGGCCACTTAATTTCTTGTAGGCATCTTGCAGGCCTATTTGCTATTAAGTATGACAAGTACCTTGAATCAATGATTACATTTTATGAATGTGGGTTATTTGTTCTAAATTGTTTTGAGTACATTTTGGAGCCACTAGGTGTCAGTGTCCCCCAATATCTGCATTGAGCATGACTTGTAGGACTCATACATATGCCTCGTGGTGATAGAAATGTAACGAAAATTATAAAAACATATTTTTTTAATGACATGATGGTTAGAAATATAAATTGTGTAATGTGTTCAGAAGACAAGTCTCTGCCATTACCTTGTTCGTAACTTAACTCTGAAGGAGAAAGTCATTTGCATGCTTCCATGGAAAAAGAAAGTTATAACAGTATTCTCCATGCAGACAGATTCGTTTTATGTCATAATGTGAAATATTAAAACCAAATGAACAACATTTTCATATAAACAAGCGAGAGGAGGCCCTTCACCATGAGAGTCAGGTTTGTGGAGACGCAAGTCAGTGGCTTTTACACAGTTTAGACAGTACCTCATACCTTTTAATAATACTTAAACATTAATTTATAAGCCTGTATCATGGTGCAGTGTGATTTATTTAAGGCCGTAGTGGTAGAAATACTTGAATGTGTAGTTAAAAGTACTACATATGATCAGTTGGGTCAATTTAGCAGGAACTATGAGGGTCAAGCAAAATTGGCCACATTTTGGACCCCCCTAAACTAAAAGAAGAGTTTGAGGTAAATGTATGTTTGCAGTACTTTGTCAGAGCTTGAGTGGGGAGTACGTGCTGATCGGCTCAAATCCAGCTGCAGGGTGTCTCTACAAAGTGCACTTCGCTTTACTTTAAGTCTAAAACTGAACAATTTCTCTGAACTCTCTTTGACATTTGAGGTTTCCAAAAGAATTTACCTTGTAAGCTTTAAGGGGACAATCCATGCCATATTTTACTTACTTTTGTTTTATGTCGTGGGCTATGGAGTAACTAGTAGACGGTATAGAAAAGTTCCTATTTAAGCAGTTAAACTATCACTCCTTTACCTCAATCTGTCTGCTCTTCTTTCCATTGCGTTGTTGTACATTGAACCACAAAAACCTTTGGAAAAGTGACACATACTTTGAAATAGACACCTGACATGGTTTGTATACACCAAAGAACTTATTTCTTTACCCTATGTTTGAAGTAAGGGCATCCAAATCAAGAGGTGCACCACAAAAACCTGCCCTGCCATTAACTCCAGAGTTCAAGTGCTGCCCCATAGAGATTTATGGTAGGAAAAGACTATTAGCACGGACGTGTCAACATTTGTTGAGGTCCCAAAACATGCTTCAAGGCGCTGACATCAGTGACTGAAAATAACATGTCCAAACCTACATAAGTACATATCAAATGCATGCACATAGTTTGGTATAAGACCATATCAAGTTGATGTTTTTGTCTATTTTCAAGAAAATAATATTTCTTACATTATATATTTTACCAAGTCCAAGTTTTGAGTACAAGTGTGGGGACTGACATTTTACCATTGCAAGATTGTAGATGTATTTATGTACTTTAAACTCTATGTACTGTATTTTTATATTAATTATCAATTTATTTTATATTGCACAACTTATGATTTCATATCACAGACTAACATATAACCTTTTTTTGTGCAAGACCTCCTAGAAACATTGCAGTTTCAAATGTGATGAACTAACAATATTGTTAGAAGACTTAAATAAACACAGCTGGTGACACATATAAATATTGAATAATTATGAGGACTTAAAGGTGTCTGCAAGTCTAATTTTGAACAGGGCGGATGAAGTTCGGTCCAAATATATTTTAGTCTACAATGATCCTAAATATTTCATTGAGTACAAATTGAATTGAAAATGGCACTGAGTGGTTTTAAAAACAGTATTACTATTAGTACATGTATACTCCCCCCAAGACACTGCACTGCTTGGGCTCAACGAAGGTCCTGTATTACGCAAAATACTCTTGTGAGCTTCAAGCCATATTATAATGTTGTTACCTCCTGAAAAACCTGGAGTTACATATGTTTGAGTAAACCTGGTTTATTAGTCTGTTTACATCTCCAAGTGCTCTGTTCCACCGTGTGATGTCATGTAGTGGTAGTTTTCAAGTTATGAGCTACCTTTTACCCTTAGTTCAGTAAAGATAGGCAATTATAGGGATGAAAGTATCAAAATGATTCTAAGAAAGAATATGTAGTTTGAAAATACAGTGGAGCATTTCCTGTATTGCCATATGACATCACAAGGTGGAACAGAGTGTTTTCACTTTGAGAGAAGAACTCATGCTAAATATGCAGGGTTTGTGTATTAAACATGTGTGAACAAAACAAAACAACTCCAGACATATTTTTGATGATGAAACATTATAACATAGGTCAGATAATAGCATAATATGGGCCCTTTAAACACATGTCTTCACTTAAAGGTACATGATTTTGGACTTGCTCTTCTCCTGACCCAAGTCCACACCCATTACCTTGTCATGGGAATTGTCAACTAAATATCAATAACTCAGAATATCCATGATAAATTAATAATACTGACATAGTCCTGGAAAACTCTGGTCCATTTCCAAAAAAATGTGTTCAGTGAGGATTTTAAGGGCTTAATACTATGTGACATGCGATGATGTCTTTCTGCTATATTTGCAGTGTCACTTGGTAGAAATTGACTCTCAAATCCCAAATTTTAAAACAAAGAATCAGTTCACAATCCATACTAAACAATTCAGATTAATGTCACATAAACAAAATTATAGTCAACAAAATAGATTTATTACAAAATACACATCAGAAAAAAGCGCTGTATTGGCATAAATAGCATTTGGTGCTAATTAGAATCAGTGCTGAACATTTCGAATTTTCTATACTGCAGCGATGTGTGACAAATGATGAATACCTGGATACATACTGTGGTAGTGCTTAAAACATGGTGAAATTTGACATGCAAATGAACCATTTTAGAGCTTGATATTTACACTATTTACAAACCATAAAAAACATGTTCTATTAAATATTTCCCCATATAAAAATGAATAACTTACAGTGTACCTGCTGATATAACTGATTATCCACAAATACAAGCCTTGCATTAGAAGCTGTTAAGGTGCACTGGAGTGCTCATGGTGTCCAATATATCAACATTGGCTATAATAACACATAATAGATAAGTGTTGTCATACAAACATATAGATAGAACATTGCCATTAGAGTAACAGTACCTTAAATGTTTAAACAGTAACATATAGTGAACGAGTGCAGCACTTGGCAGTGATCCAACAGTACAGACATCACAAACACATTTGTAATAAATATAAAACAAAATGGTAAGCTTCAAACAGCTGAAGTTATTGTATCAAGAGGTCAGACACTAAAGACATTGGCTGAGAATGGTAATTGAAACTCCTCTTCATGAATGTCTTTACCCAATATAAATCTAATCATGTTGTATTCTCATTATTTAGAGTTTATTGAGTATTTTGAGTGTAGGTCTTACAGAGTTGCATAGCCTTTTGCATAGTACTGGACCCTTCTGTGAAGCTTTGATGTGGACATCACAGCATTCCTACTGAGGCAGTGCACACAACAGTTAGGTGTGAGCCCTATAGCACCGTAATGAGTGAGAATGAGCAGCTCTCATGTGTTAACCACACTGCAAACATGTATGGAGCACAGTCTGTCACATGAACTGTGTTTAAGGACCACACTACAGATAAATTATAGTTCATCATTTCAAATCAAAACAGTATTACAAACTATATACAATGTATTCACAAGTAAGTAATGCATAGTTAACTGCTGCCATTAAATGAGTGTGTCTTTCAAAGTCCATATATACAAAAGGTGGTCCATGACTGTTGTGCAAATCTGTAGCAGTCTCTCTTGGTAGTGAGGAGGTCTGTGGTCTATATGTGATCTACTTGTCTATTTGAACCAGTGCAGGTAGTTTGTCTTGAGTGTGGGGAAGCACATGTTGTTACTGCAGGAGCCTCCATAACTGGGCGGACAGGCCGAGCATGGGACACCTACTTTATATGGGGCTTCACCAATCCAGTTACCTCTGAAAGACAAAAACAGATTTTAAGTAAAATAGAAGACAATATAATTCACTGTTTTTGGGATCAGGGTGCATAAAGGTGCATAAACTTATATAACAATGAGCAAGATTTAAAAAGACTGGACTGGGCAGTACCAGTGCACCAGCTGTATCAGGCTTATGTAGACCTTGCAGAGACAGGGGTACTAACAGTCTATGCCAAAGGATTAGGTCGTCATAGGTTACAGAGTTCAATGAGATCAAATGACTTCTTACAGCATGAGTTTAGTTTCATGTACAGTGAAGCATAAGGCTGAAAGAATACTTACTTTGGTGAATAGTTGCAGACTAAATATGTGGCACGTTTCCATATAGAACCCCATACATTCATATTGTGGCAGGTGTGGATGGCACAGCCCACTTTGTTTGATGTTGCCCAAACCATCTGCAGAACAAGCAACAACAGTGTCATAAATCAACTCTTAGTGGTGGAGAAGTTTGGCAGTGTTGACAATGGTGTACCTGTGTGTAGTGGGTGCACATGGGTCCAGAACATTTCAGAGGGCAACGGGGGTTACAGTCTCGGGGGTATGGGAAAGTGTAATCTTTGACTTCATCATACCAAGGCTTCACCAACTGCAGAATGGAGCGATACCTGGAAACGAAATATAAATGTCAACTAAAAATGTACTGGCATTGGAGATATTATAATTATTAACAATTTTTAGGGTAATATTTTCAAAAACTGACATCACAATCAAGTCAAAAAGCACTAAAAGTTGTACAGACCAAAACCATTTGTCATACTGAGAAGTGGACCACAAGTTGTACTCCTCACAAGGTAATTTTAAAATGATATACAAAACAAAGTACTGCAGGTGTTATACATTTTAACCTGAGTTTGACCTTAATCCTCACTCTTGTGTATAATGCATATTGTTTTGGTTGTTTTTCTTTACTGGGAGACAAAAAATACAAGGGGGCAGAGACACGACCCTGGTGGAACGCCTCTGTATTTAACAGGGGGGAAGTAGAAGTCAAGTAAGTTAAACGTTTGAGTGAAAAACAATGTGTTACTCTTACAGGCACCAATAAAATTTAAAAGAGGAACTTTTAAACCTATCTTTTAAAGAGACCTATACTATTCTTAAGGATAACCTTTTAATAACTGCCAATCACAGGGTTAACAAGCAGAACCCCCTTGTGTCTCGTGACGTCCTTCAATAAACACCCAAAGATGCCAAATGGAAAGTCAAGACCCACTAAAGGGAAGCACCTTTGTCCTAAGGGTCAATGCTAGCAACACATCTTTTGTTTATTTGAAGGGTCACAGGAGCATTCCACAAGTTGTAACCAGGGCAAAAAAAAACTTAAAATAGAGAGAGAAGAAGTCGGCTGCGGGGCAACGACCATGAATGAGCGAGTGCAGTCCCTTGGAGGAGCAGCAGATGTTGGGATATAGGGGGCACAAGTGGGGCGCCTGGGGTCACTCACCGCCCCGTCCTGACTGAGAGGTTCTGACCCAAGAAGCGGAGGAGGTAAGGAGGGCCATGCTCCCACAGACAGGCGTGAGCCCAGTCCTCAGCAGTCTTAGCCAGCATGTCATCCCAGACCTAGAATCACACAAGTACATCACAGAAAAAGCAATTACATAACTGCATGGAAAATCAAACCACAAGAGACTCTCCATCTTCTGCCATTGACATGTGAGGTAAGAGGTTTCCCTGTGAGTGCTGCTACAGGTGTTACCATGGCAAAATGGGTGCCCCATCCTCCAAATAAGTTATACAAGAAATCATAGCTTTGCTTCTCTGTGTCCTATGATCATTACTTAAAGATGGGAATCTTTTCATCTTAACATCTCAGCTATGATGTGCACTATTGGTGCATCCCCAAAAAGGATTCACACAAGCTCAGGAGCATAAGCAAAAACTGAAGATAGAAAAGCAACATCACCAGAAATGTATTTAAGGCAGAGATGAGTCATAGAGGTAAAAGTGACCACTCTGTCCCCTCATCTTGACTCTGTCTGCTGGACACTGGTGCCATGTCTGACCCCTTTTCCCCCTGGAAGTCACTGCTTTGGTGGTCTACTGAAATCCTATCCCTTTAACAGCTGAGAGTGTCATTTGTCACTTGCTTTTGCGTAAAACCACATTTCTAATAAAGCACAAAGTGACATTAAGCCTTATCACAGAAAGCATATGTAAAAGTAATATATTAGAGGTTGAATGAAAACTTACCATGTACTCCATGTTGGATGCTGGAGGGAACACTCGTCCTCTGACTTTGTTGTGGTAATCAAGAATTGCCACCCTGTCGTTCATTGAAATATAACGCTTCCTTCTGCTTTTTGATATGGACGAGTCTGTTCCATTATTCTGCGCTGTGCCAAAGACCGCTGAGAAGTTGTCGACTATGGATGACACGGGCGCACCAGGGATACGAGTAGCCAGTGCACTTGCTCCACATGAGACGCACAGGATTGTTAAAACGAATAATTGCGGCTTCATATTTAGTTCCGGATAACAACAATACTCCACGACCTGAATGAACGCTAAACCCAATAAAAAGCACTGTTCTTCTGTACGCAGCCCTACCTTTCCTTACGCACCGACTACCTGCATTCCAGCCTCCGTGTCACCTCCAAAAGTGCCGCTAGTGGGCTGGACATAGAGAGACGAGGCTGCAGAGAGCAAGTTTCGCGCTTTGCTAACGTTGTGGAGCTTTGTGGAGTGCTGGAGCAGGCGTCCCTCTTGAGTCTCTTATATATTGCATTGGAGCATGCAGGAAGTGCGCGTGGCTCAGAGGTAGACGCACGGCTCCTCCTTGTCACCTGAAACACCGCATCATCTCAGCGGGTATTCAGTTTCCTCTTAACTTTCCAGGACCTTAACAGCATCGCTACGTCACTTTGCAAAATATTTTTAACATTTGACGTTTCTGAACTTTACTTGGAATACAGACAAAATATTATTGTTTTAACTGGAGAGGAGAACGTTTATGCACAGTGCTCATCTTTTGTTGCCTACTTTTGTTGTTTAACTTTTATTAAAGTTTAATATTTTAATTTTCAAGTTAGAAATGCTTCATAGTAGGATAATATCAATATAGGCTGCAGCTTACTTTATTTACTACTTTATTTCATTAATAAATAACAATCGTTCGTGTCGTCAATTATGCTCGCCAACCATAAATAATGATATTAATGGATTCATTTCAGGTTTCAGGTTATCTACAACAATATCCCGTGTTACTCATGTGGAGCAGTGTAAACAGCACTTCCATGTGTTGCATTTATGACACAGTAAAGATTACACTTGTTCAGCAGGGCCTCCAGATGTGTGTGGTTTGGGTCCAGAGGCACAGCCAAGTGAAAAAACGTGGCTGCTCCCCGTCATTTTCATTGGCAGCTGGAGAACAAATTAAAGCAACGTGAAGCTCTCTCACTCTCACTCTCTCTCCTTCTCTCACTTTCTCTCTTTCCCTGCTCTCTCTCTCTCCCTGTCTCTCTCTCTCCTTTCCCCCTGCTGTCTCTCTCTCTCTCTCTCCCTCCCTTTCTGTCTATCCCCCTGCTCTGGATGTTTCCCAAAAATCCTCCTACAGTGATGGTCTTTTCAGGTGCCGGAGAGGCCAAAAGGATATATCATTCAAGAGGGGAGCTCTCTAAAAAGCTTTGGGAGTTGTCTACCTTTCATTCTGTCCAAGCAGAATATGTTTACTTTTAACTTTATAACAGACTATAATGAACTAAAAAGTGATTAGACCTTCTGGATGGTTTATCCGTTAAATCGTATAACTATTATTGTCAACTGAGTGCCATTATCCAATCCAAACCTAAGACAAAGTTTTATTTTTATTCTTTCTCGATTTGCATCAACAAAAGGATCGGGAAAGACAATTCCAAATGAGCAAGCATGCCAGTCACTACTATTCAATGATAATAACTAAAACATATAAACAGCAGTTATAATGGGTGACTAAGCCTAAGGAAAGGCAAGTTGTCCAAGCTATTTGAAGATGACATTTGAACTTCTAAAGCTCTATGCTCAGTTCAGAACATGATTATTTTGGTTTGGTAATATGCATTTTCATAGTGTACACTGTAGTCAAGATGCAGGAAGCTGAGACTTGCGGACTTGCTGGCCAGATACTAACCTTGTCATTTATCCAGGTTTGGGAGTGACATGAAAACTGGCTTAAACCTGGGGTGATTTTTTTTTTTTCCCCTAAAACACCTGACTTAAATGACCCCCATTCAAACTGAGCTGTTTCTAAACCCTTTGGAGTACCAACAAATGTGTGGGCTCTTTGTGAAGCTGGCACTCTGTAGTTTTGTAGTAATGTAAAAAGCTACGCACAGACGAACATCAGCTTTCACATCCCACCTCATTTTTGGGGGGTAAATATAAGATGTAAAACTGCTGTCTGGGGCAATGGTCTGATAGACAGCAGATTGAGAATTTATTGGGTTTCAACAATTCCTTTTTCAAAGACGAAGTCCAACTCACTTGGTGGTCTATGAGGGATGCCTATTAAAATGTTGTGAATTTTAGGTTTGTTTTATTATTTGTGGGTTTGGAATGGTTGATTTGACTGGAAATAAATGGGTTACAGCTTTCCATTTCTTACATGCTCAGGGCTTTACAGTTCACAAGAATAAACCCTCATTTTAGATTATACAGGTGATGAGTAGGATTGTATTCTTTAGAAATCATTTTAATTCTGTGTATTTTGCATGAGCATTTTGTCTGCTCCATTTCTGATACAGTATTTTGAGGAACTGAGTGGATATCTGTTTTCCAGCATCACATCACATCTGCTCAGCCCTTTGACTCATCCTCTCATCTGGTATCAATCGCCTGGTCCCGTCTCGCTCCAAGTGTCCAGCCAAAGATCCAGATCAAAACATTTGCACGAGCGATCTTATCCTCGCATTTATAACCATTTTATAATCCATATCATCTGATTAACTAATGCACACATGTTTAACACTATCTGATCCAAGACTAAATATCTCTGTGACATCAAAATGAGCTGAAATGTTGGAGCAGTGCGCGCCTCTGTGGATGTCTTCAGCACAGATTGCCTTCACGTGCTGTCTGCTGCTGGTTCCAGATGATACTCCCTCAATCCCAGGCCTTGTTTTTCCCTCTGAACTCAATGACTTCTCCGAGCGCGTCCTATTATTATTATCGTCACAGTAATTAAGGCATTATTTGGGGCACAGTGTTGCTCCAATGGCCCGAGGTCTGTTTAGGAAAGGCATTCTTTTTCATTCAGAGCATTTATTTACCTACATTACATCGGTCCAAGTTTCCCCTAATGGTTATCCCCCCTCTCAGGAGGCCTCTCTCAGCCCACAGTCTGTGCCAGGTCAGGGGAGAGCAGTGAGGGAAAACGGAATACAGCTGTGCTATGGTGGTGGTGGTTGAAGATTTAGATGTAAACACAGCACAATCAAACTGAAACTAATATTATATTTTAGCTTTGCAATGTTATGATTTCCAGTGTCTTTCATTTATTATATTATTTTTATAGCACTTTATAGTAACCACACCGTAATTTAAAGAGTTTATAATGAACAAATCATTGTTAAGAATGATTCTGGCTTTGTAAAATTAAATGAATGCCCTAAACCCTTATATTTACCGAGCCTTTATCATTCTTAATAAATAACTTCTTCATTATGAATTAAGTCTTTGTTCACGCTGTAGTAAGGATAATTAAGGCTGTTATTGTAAAGTGTTAGCCTCTCTTTTTTCTTTTATTTTAGCAATGCAATTGTGTTTTCTCTATCACAGCAGACATTTTTAAGTTGATGAACTGATAATTATAATAAATAGTCTTACAATGTCCAGTGTGGTCCATGGACATCTCACTGCCTACTTTGCATCTTGCATTCAGATGGGCGCCAAAGGTGATTATAGAAATGACTTAGTTTGCCATGCATTCATGTCATAACTTGTATATACATATGCTTTCTCATAAAAAATTAAACATTTCAAAAGCAAATACAATCAAAGAAAATATGAAAATGTTAGCAGATCTGATTATTTAAATTTTGGGGTTTCTTTGACGTTGGAAAGTTGTGATGTCACAAGTGGGTTTTTCTTGGCGGCTGAAGCCAGAGAGAAATGTGACATTTGGAGAGTGGTTTACTTTGGTCCAGAGCCCAGTCTTTAACTTCAAACTGTCCCAGGAGCTTTTCTTCCACACACAGCTGTTAAACATTGTATCAGTGGGAGATACAGTTACACAGCAAATACTCGAGCTTCTCATGAAAAAGATGCTGAGAGCTAATTCACCCTTTGTCCTTGTCAGAAATTCACAGGTGTAGAGTAACAAGTGTAGCAATTAAAGCTACAAACCGCAAACTGATCAAAAACAGATACGCTTTTGAGATTTTAATTGAATCCCAGCTGTGTTGACAGTGTACACATAACAAGCTTTTATTTCGTAGAAAGCAACAAAGAGGCATTTGAAACAGTATTTTGAGCTAATTGACCGCACTGGAATCTACAGGCAGGCTGGACTGCATGTTTTGAGTGAGTACTTTGTTGTCTGGATACAAGTCTAGAGTCTAGACTAAGATTTGGTTTGAAAAATATTTATTGAAGTGTTGTAACAATTAGAAAGAAAGCACATTACATTTGATTGAGCAAAAGTAACATTCTTCCTTGATATTTACTCATTTAGTAACGTGCATTGTCGAAATGTACTTTTATCTTTGATTTCAACACTATAGAAAATGCAGGAAAATCAGTACAACATTGCGAGTGAAATAGACAATGAAACAAAACATTATTTAATTGTTGCTGCTTAAAAACTCTTAATAAAGTGCTCAAAACCGTTTAAAAACAAACAAGATGGCGGCAGTGCAAACACATGAAAGGGCTTTTCCTGTAACGCTATTTAAAGTGTGGGAAAACGTGTCTCGGCAGTGTGGGGCAGTTTCTTCAGGAATAAGCACTTTGGCCCTTCTATTTTTGACATGTTACATTCCTTTGCCCCCAGATATTCTCACCCATCTATAAGACATTTACAACCAACTTTGATGCTCGGGCCTTGTAAGACTGGCCAGAGACACGCACACACATTTCTCAAAAGGTTCAGAAGTCAAACCAGGGAGACACAGACACAAGTCCGGGCCTCCAACATAGAGCTGATGTGATGTATTTTCCTGACAGCAGGTAACAAAAACTATCACCTGGGGATGAGGAGCAGCCTGCCAAACCAAAATAAGCCTGAGCAGATACTGACAGAGCGGTAATGTGTGAGTAAAGAGGCGTTACTCTGGCCCGCATGCACTAGGGAAGGACTGGAGTTAATATAGTCAACATAAGCAGGCAAATTTAATATTATAATCTTCTTTTTTCTTACTTTTCTGGCTTGGCTGCATAGTTTTTGTTTTGTTTTATTTGTCAGTGCTTTCTACAGCAAACCAGTGGTGGTGTTTTTTCCTTTGGAGAGTGAAATGTCTTGCTCAAGGATACAGTGACAGTCACAAGTG